CAGCAATCATCGGTGGCTTGCTATTTTGTTACTTTATCGACGCTTCATAAACCAATCGTTATTGTTTCAAGATGGAGGGTAAATGTGTTGGAGAAGGGTGTCAAGTATACTTCAAGAAACGTAGTGGCAATAAGAACAGAAGTGCACGCAATGTAAATAGTCCACAATATAAATGGCTCCTAGATACGCTGGTGCAACAAGGATTGATGTCAGCAAAGGAACAAGCACTTATTTGCCAGAAGTGCTACATGAAGTATCTTCGGAACAAAAATCAGCCTGAACCTGAACCCGAGCAGAACCAGGAAATAGAGGAAGAAGACGACTCCCCGTCCCATATCCTGCCGTTGCTGACCCTTCATGATCTTTTGAATGGATCATCTTCACACAAAAAATGCTGTCTCTGTCTTGTTACCTTTGCAAGAAATGGAACAAAATCATCAGTCTTACCAAAACGTGCAAGACATCACCTGATCTATTCACACAAACTGTGGTGTCCCACCTCATCCCGCGTCTGCTCCATTCACCTTATTGGTAACGACTTAGATCCGTCTACAGAGGTTGTCCTTGATGGTAGAGGTTCCTTGGAATCTCAGTTACCATCAAAATCGTCCGAAATCATTAATGACCTCCTAGAGGTGTCGCACGTCCTTTCACAGAACCAGTCTGCGTTTACAATAAGCTTTTCTTCTCTTGATGACTCGGCATGCATGGCCTGGACAGGTTGGTCCAAAGATCAGTTCCTCGAAATCCACTCGCACTGTTCCCCATATCTTTCATCTGGTATATATACCAAGACTACACACGATGCTCTATTACTGTTCTGGGTAAAACTGAAAACCGACATTTCCTGGAGTCAGTGTTCTTCTCTTTTTGGAATTTCCAAGTCAAGTGTGTCCAAAACTTTCCACTCCATAGTACAGGCATTAGACACATCGATAGTCCCACAATTTCTAGGTCCGGATCACTTGACAAGAGAACAGTTGCTCGGGCACAATACTGTCTTTTCAGAAGCATTTTTTGGAGATAAAGCCACTGCCATATTAGATGGCACCTATATTTATATCCAGAAAAGCTCCGACCACAAGCTCCAGAGAATGTCCTACTGTGGCCAGAAGAAGAGAAACTATCTCAAATTCATGAGCATCGCCTTACCAGATGGCTACATTCTGGACACAGTAGGACCATTCACTGGCAGCGAAAATGATGCTACAATTACAAAAAAAGTCATGGACAAGCTAGTTACTTGGCTACAACCAGACGACAACGTTGTCGTTGACCGAGGTTTTAGAGATGTCCTACCAGTTCTCGAAGCCTCTGGCCTCAATGCTAGCATGCCGTCATACCTGAAACCCGGTCAAAGTCAACATTCTGACGTCCAAGCAAATCTTGACAGAACTATCACCAAATCGAGGTGGATTGTGGAATCCTATCATGGTCGTCTGAAACACTGGACGTTCTTCCGAACGCAATTGGTGTCTAACAGCTTTATCAATGTCATCGAGGCTTTGCTTCGAACCGTCACAGCCTGTCTGAATGGTATTAGAGGACCGATCTACCAGAGATCTCCAGAGAGAGATGCCAAAGATAGGCTAATGGCTGAACGTATGAAGGACCGTTTGACAACACCGAATGGTTTAGCTCAGAGAGTCAAGACAGATCCGGATCTATCTAGACGGGCAAGGTCCGAGTTTGTCAAGATGGATGCATCTTCCGTACTGTTTCCCCGTCTCGATCTTGATTACTTGAGAACCATTACGTGTGGAACGTATCAGATATCTCTGGCTCCTGGTTACATCGCCGAACATTTAAGTGATGACGGAGACTATGAGGTGTGGCTTTACCAGCACTCCCCAGACCTTCTCCGATGTCAAATACATTCTCGACACAAAAGCCAAACGAAATATAACGTTTGGATACGGTTCACCGTTTCACCCGATGTTGAGGCCCCAATAAAGGACTACTACTGCCAGTGCCCAGTTGGAGAGAGAACGATGGGAATGTGTGCGCACATCTCCAGTATCTTGTACTACCTTGGGTATTACAGGACGCTGGAAAACCCTCGACCATTACAACCACAGGTAAAGAAATTCCGACAAAACTTGAAATAGTTTTCCATGCGGCAACGGAGTGCATATGTCGAAAGTATGTTTGGGGCTCGATATGAAAGATCCCCGTTACCATGTGACTAACCAAACTTATAAATATAGGTATTATACAATCGCCCGTAGCTATGAACACTCCCGTAAATGCGAAAACCAACCAAAATCATAAGGAACACGTTTTGTTTGTTGTTCTGTCTATTTGTCAGCCAATGTCTTCAACCACGGGGACTTGTGAAGTAGCCATCTTGGATTTTTTTTATGAAAAAGTGTTTCTCTCACTTTTTTTCATATCTGTGTACATATTCTCAACATACCGAGCAAATACTCTCGTTTTTTTGTTAATTATCTAAAGAAAGTCGAAAATCGGCAATTCAACCATAGGCTAATTCAACCCAACATTTGAAAATGTTCCACCACTTACATTTTGATGATTTTTCCTCTCATCAATAGCATATTACGTACTGTTTAATAGGATAAAAATTGGTTTGCATCCAACGCCCATAAAAGGGTGTATTCTCTAAAAAACACAGTTTTTGTGTCTAAAATGTTATCATCGAAAATGGCATTTTTGAGATTGTTTCTTCCATAAAACAGCCAAATGGCGCGATGGAAACATGATTTTTTGTCACAATCATGCCATGAATGTATTCTTTACGGTGACCATCATTTGATTAGATTTTCATTAATATTTTACATAACATGCACATTTTATCAACACTTAGACAGCTTCTGAAAGGTACAACTTTGAGGAGCCATAAAAAACAAACCAAGTGACCTAAATCTTTATACTTTATAGATTTGTGACCACAACGGCATGGGCAATGCACCACCAACAGGAAATTTGAATCAGAGAAGGGGCCGTTTTGGAAACCGGCCCTTTCTCCATGGATGTGCCGATCTAAGAAGGCAAACTTCTGCAGCACCCACTTCACTTCTCCTGGTCAGTCAGCTTATAGCCCCTGTTCCATGCTTTCCTGTTTTTAAACTTCCCATATCAGGAGGGGGACCTAAAGCAGACACAACATAATACTGTTGTGTTTCTTGTTGTGTTGGTGGTAAGGGAGTAGGGGCGAGCTGTGTGGGTCATCCCTCGTACATGTACATTTTAATCACCTTTGTAGTGCTAATTGATACGGCAGAGTCTGAGAACGACGACCACCCACACTTCTGGTCAAACGTAGAGTGCTGTTATTTCACAGAGTTTTGAACATTTTGATTGCTTCTATTGTTCTTCAAGCCTTAAACCATATTCCATGTAACACTTGCATTATTCCAAACGCATAATGACATATGAATCATAAATATAACTGATGAACCCGATAGAAAAGTATTAATAAAGCGGAGTCTACATTTCTAGCAGTGATTTATATCAAACGAGCTCAAAAAAGAGTGAGCGAAGGAGGCATTATCGTGGGAACACGACACGAGTATTTGAAAATTGTTGCTTTAAAAAACAATATAGTCACTTAATATACGAGAAAATCAGGACCAGGCTCCATATTCATGAAAACGTTCTCATGCTCAAGCATGGATTCGGTGCCCATGCATTTCACTACGCATGACCATATACCAGAGCTCCTATTTAATTTGTTATGATTTTTTTCCAATAAACTAAAGTTATTCTTTTAAATTATTTAAAATCCTGACAAAACTATGAAATCCTTCTCCCTTCGAATTTGAAGATTTAAATGCTCTTGTTAACGTTCATGCCATCCAAATTTACTGATTTACGTTTCAGGTTTTAATCCCATTTTTCTTCATATCATCCCCTTAGGAAGGAGTGACCTTGTTGTATGGATGACCTTGTACGGTTGACCTTGTACGGGTGACCTTGTTGTATGGATGACCTGGTACGGGTGACCTTGTTGTATGGATGACCTTGTTGTATGGATGACCTTGTACGGGTGACCTTGTTGTATGGATGACCTTGGTGTATGGATGACCTTGTTGTATGGATGACCTTGTAAGGGTGACCATGTGATATGGATGACCTTGTACGGGTGACCTTGTTGTATGGATGACCTTGTACGGGTGACCTTGTTGTATGGATTACCGTATAAGGGTGACCATGTGACATGGATGACCTCGTACAGGTGACCTTGTTGTATGGATGATCTTGTACAGCTGACCTTGTGATATGGATGACTTTGTACGGGTGACCATGTTATATGGATGACCTTGTACAGGTGACCTTGTTGTATGGATGACCTTGTACGGGTGACCTTGTTGTATGGATGACCTTGTACGGGTGACCTCGTGATATGGATGACCTTGTGATTTGGATGACCTTGTATGGGTGACCTTGTTGTATGGATTACCTTATAAGGGTGACCATGTGACATGGATGACCTTGTACAGGTGACCTTGTTGTATGGATGACCTTGTACAGGTGACCTTGTTGTATGGATGACCTTGTACAGGTGACCTTGTTGTATGGATGACCTTATAAGGGTGACCATGTTATATGGATGACCTTGTACGGGTGACCTTGTTGTATGGATGACCTTGTACGGGTGACCTTGTTGTATGGATGACCTTGTAGGGTGACCTCGTGATATGGATGACCTTGTACGGGTGACCTTGTTGTATGGATGACCTTGTGATATGGATGACCTTGTACGGATGACCTTGTTGTATGGATGACCTTATAAGGGTGACCATGTGATATGGATGACCTTGTACAGGTGACCTTGTTGTATGGAAGTGGTTTGGCAGTGTACAGTTACTACGGGTGTTTTTCAGTGACGTATCCTTACCATCCCTTAGTAATCCTAACCAGAGCAGTGATGTATATAGAATACTGACATCCAACCCTTCTGGCTGATCTTGTTTTTTAATCACAACAGACAGTCCTTGTAAATAAACCTAATGAACAAAATAAATCTAATAGACTCAGGTTTGATCATGTTTCTTTTATTTTTCTTTACGTTTTTTTTTTTTATTAAATTACACATTCAATTTTACCTTTGTATTTGTATTCCATCAAGAGGAACTATATGACACTCAATAAGGGCAAATAATGAACATGCAGTAACAAAAATATAGCACTAAGAAAGGGCGATAATAAATAGCATTGGAGTTACCAAAGGGAGATAACTCCTATTGGTCAACAAACCATCACAACACCTTGTCTAAGTAGCACTGGTGAAATGGTGTTCTGATTGATAGGAAACGATATGAAAAGCATCTGTAACGGAGGACAACTTACAACTAATCCATAAAAAAAAATAAACGATTGTGCTAGTCCTGTGGAAATAGATTCAGTGTATTCCTGGTATGCATTATAATGTGTTTCAAGTATGTGTGAATATATTCATATTGCCATTCACTTTTTATGAAATTTTCGTACTCCATGTATAATGTATTCACATATATCATTTACTTTCAAAATAAACAAGACACTTGTGTAGCAAGTCTGCAAAACTAAAAATGTATCCTTTTACTTATATATACATAAACATATAATACATACTTCTATTCATATAATATCCATGGTTACCAGAACTTGCATACAATACCAAGTATTCATTCCAACAACAAAAGAAATGATGGTACACTTTTAAAACAAAATGTCACTTTATTATTCAATATAAATTTCAGCCTACAGACTCGTATTCCTGAAGTTCATTGATTGGTTGTAGTATAAACATATATGTTCCCCATTCAGTTCTCCAGAGGACAGCTAGATATATTGACTATGTCTACAATGTTGGGACCCAGGATAGGGTATCACAGAGAAAATTCATGACATGTACTTTAAAACAGTGCAGATATTAGACGGTAATTGAAAAAGGCAGTGGTTAATAAAGGCCTTGGGAACAGAGGTGTCTGGGAAACGGGCCTCAGGACAGAGGTGTCTGGGAAACGGGCCTCAGGACAGAGGTGTCTGGGAAACGGGCCTCAGGACAGAGGTGTCTGGGAAACGGGCCTCAGGACAGAGGTGTCTGGGAAACGGGCCTCAGGACAGAGGTGTCTGGGAAACGGGCCTCAGGACAGAGGTGTCTGGGAAACGGGCCTCAGGACAGAGGTGTCTGGGAAACGGGCCTCAGGACAGAGGTGTCTGGGAAACGGGCCTCAGGACAGAGGTGTCTGGGAAACGGGCCTCAGGACAGAGGTGTCTGGGAAACGGGCCTCAGGACAGAGGTGTCTGGGAAACGGGCCTCAGGACAGAGGTGTCAGGGAAACGGACTTCAGGACAGAGGTGTCTGGGACACGGGCCTCAGGACAGAGGTGTCTGGGACACGGGCCTCAGGACAGAGGTGTCTGGGACACAGAAAAAAAAAGTGGACAACACAGGCCACAGGACAGAGGTGTCTAGGACACAGACTGAAGACAGGACTGTCTAGGACAAAGAAAAAAGGGGGAGTGATCAACACTGGCCTTCCAACAAATGTGTCTAGGATGCAATATTGGCCTCAGAACAGGTGTATCTAGGACAGAGAGAAAAGAAAAGTGGTCAACATTAGCCTTGGGACAGGAGTGTCTTGGGCAAAGACGAAGAGAGAACGATCAGTATTGAACAGGTGTATCTAGGACGTAGGATACTTCAGGACAGGTATGATCATTACCAGCTTCAGGTTGGGACAGGCATGTGCAGGACATGAAGGGAAGACTGGATTTACACCAGTAAGATACTATTTTTATACATGTATCATGAATATAGAACCTTCTGGACATTGAGAATTCCATACCGTCCATTCTTCAAAGTGAGCCTGGGGTATGTTGTTAAGTCCCAGTATACATCTTTAGAGATTAATAACAACATGTAAGTCCTAAGCACATAGCCATAGATTTCATTTTGACCTGTATTATTGATAACAACAGACCAGCCTGTATCCTATCCTGTTCCATATGTGAAAGAACTACAATCCAGTGTTACCTACTTGATACTTTAACAAATTTTTACAGATGTTCTCAACCAAGTTGTCTGTGTTTTTACACCATAATTACATAAAGTAACATATTCACAGTAAACAAGATTATCAGTAGGTACCATCGAAGTACACTATGACAAAACGAAATCACATTTTTTATATTATAAGTATAGTTCCAACTATAAAAAAATACATTTAGCAATATATCAATAACCCTGCTTAAATCATGTCACAATAAATAAGATGTCAAACAAAGCTCCTTAACAGTTGATGAAAAACAAATCCCTTGCCAATTTTAATTCTTCACAGTAAAAATTAACAAAGCAGGTAATTTTAATCAAAATTTGTTTCAAAGTTCCTTACACTTAAATGACACAGTAAGAAGCATTTCAGAATATCTGTTTATGCACTGTAAAAGAGGAATCAATGATTGCGATGCTCCGTAGCTACAAATACTTTTTTTTTTTTTTTTTTTTTAGATAATGTATGTCATAAGAAGCATCTAATGCCCAACAAACTCTTTTAAGTCAGTTCTAATGCAAAAAGGTTAGGTCCTAAAAAAATGAATAATTTAAGAGAAATTTTTTAACATTTAACTACATGTACCACCATATCATATTTATATCTTAAACAGATACACCAAACAGAAAGTGTGTGGATGCATTATTATTAAGTTGGAAACATCAAAAAAAACCTGCCTCGAAACTGTTTGAAGTTCCTGATGGAATGCAGGTTTGGAGGTGCATGCGAGGGGGGTACAGCATAAGATCAAGGTTACTTATGGTAGATAGCTAACCTGTGTAACAGCAGGCAATGCCGATATGGATCACTGGATAGTTTATGGAGTACATTGTTATGCTAATATCAAATCCCTGATTGTCTGTAGCAGGGAAGATTTTATAAACAGGTATTTCAATACTTCTTGACAAAAAACACATGACTTACATTGCTACATCATAAAGTAGCCAATATTTTCAAATTCATATAGATAATATAACAAATGATGCATCTCATGATGTGGGCCTTGTACAAGCCTTAATCTTTAACTGAGAGATCCTCTATGTGTAAACTAGATTCTTAACACAAACTTACATAGGCCATCCTTAAAAATGGTTGGTTTGCAGCTTCCTGACACACTCACTAAAGATGGCACCTACTAAAAACAATATTTCTTTAACTTTTAATGGAAGTTTCTTTTTTCTGAAAAATCACAAAAAGTGTTTTATATAGAAAATGGCATTTCTAGATATTGTAAAAAAATCCAGACCTATATGTGCACTTATTTATCTTCAATAAGATTCATCACTATATGCGTACTGAAAAAAGATGTGAGTAAGGAAATTGCAAACAAAGATTGTTTAAGTATGGCCTTATCACTTGGTGTATATAGTTATTAAGAGTGTCAACAGCTGATTTTCTTCAGTAATTGCACCGAAAAATGTTAGATAATACATGTCACTCTATAACATTAACTCTCCTGTGGAAATGTACATCATACCCAATCAGTGGTTAGAAACCAGCTGTTACACTAATACACAAGGTAAACTTCCTAAACATTTTGGATACTTTTACTGAAGACATACATCTTGATTTTCCTACATAGAGGAGAAGAAAGTGCTTAAATATATGGCTTTGGCAGCAGTAAAATTTCTTCACTTAACATGTAAATTAAAGCAAGCAAACTTGTATTTTACCAACATTTGTCAAGATGGCATAAATATATTGCAAAGCAAAGCTCCTTCTAACATCAATATACAAACTAAGAAAAAGTGTAGAAAACAGAAACATCATGTGTTAATCTTAAAAGTTAAATTATTTTACAGACAACTGCCTAGTAAAATCCTTACCGAAACGTTACAGAGTGAAAGATTTCGGTTTCATAACTATATGCAGAAAAACCAGTGCCAACAAACTGACGAAGGGAGATCTCTTGGTAAATACTTATAATGTGTCCCCTTTTGTCCTGTAAACAAACCATAATACGTAAATAGTGTGTAGGCTTACTCTTTCGACATGAAAGCAACTGTGAAAAAATACAGTATTTCTAATCAACACTGGCGAAGCAGTAAAACCGATTTTATCTTAAAAACATGTTAAATTCTGATAAGACTTTTTTGGTATTGTTTTTCTCGACTGAAGTGGATCTGCATGTAGAGGAATGCTGACAACTAATATGAATTATGTATGATAATTAACGATTAAACTAAAGTGACATTTAGTGAGCTACAACATGACCAGTCTGCGGTACACATACCACTATTTACTATATAGCCGTCCTGTAGATGACAAAGCGTTGTTACACAGCAGACACACATATAAATACCTTTCTCTACCTACTGTATAAAAACTGTTGGGAAAGTCAAACACCAGGCATCCAATAACCTGGTAAACTGATCTCAGATGTTACAATTTTGTCTTCAGACTTTTACTATAGTCCAATTGTTATTGTTCAACTGTACTGTTCAAGCATGTACAAGCTGCATGTGATGACATACTAAAGCTTTAGTGCTGTACTTGAATTAATGGTTGACTGTGTGTGAAAAGCACTAAGATTAAATCTACCTCTAAATTAAAGGTATGGTATGGCATGGTATAATTTTACCATGCAAGTGTGGAAATGTGTTTGAAGCAATTTTGTGTATATTTGGAGTTCTTTGCTTAATTCATAAAAGCCATAAATGATTATTTTTTTGCATTGTCAATATATTTCTTAAAGATTTAATCTAAAAGTGAAACCATTTAATATCATGATGGTCATAATAATTTATTACGGGAAATTCTGAAAAATATCAGTTATACAAATATTAGTATTTTTATAACAATATATTTCAATATCATATCCCTGCTATTTCACTTTGTATTCAGACACCATACTAAATGTAAACAAGCCGACGATGAGGAATATTTACAGGACTGAACAGCTATATCACCAATTACCCTGCACAGTACTCATTGTAACCCGACTCCCTGAATACAATGTAACACTGGTCCTCGTTTAAGGCTGTCCCCTGTTTATGTAGGTCTACTGTGATGCTTGCTTCCTGCCTTCTCAGATATGTGTGGCTTGCCTATAAACACTCTGTTTTGATTGGCTATGTACACAGTCTGCTTTCTGATTGGCTGTCTTCACTGCATGCTTCAGGATTAGTTGTCTTCAGTCTTTGCCTTGACTGGCTGTGCTCACTGCTTTCATCTTGTTGGCTGTACTCTTCCAAACCTACCAGTCAAGGCTAAAAAATAACGACAAAATCGCCACTTTTTTTTGTGGATAAATTTTAAATGATCAAACTTTTAATAAATATTCTATAAATAAAACCTTTAGTCCATTGGGCCAGTATGGTTTAAATACTGTTTCACATAAGTCAAGAAAATTAATCTTCAGCTACCTCAATCCCGGTTATATTTTATGACCTCTTTTATAATCCAACAAGTGTCTTCAACCAACTAACACTACAGTCATACCTTGATAAACCTTAATATTTATGTTGAAATTTGACACCTAATTAAGAACATGTTTGTGACCTTGGCTTACTACCTAATATAAACTCAGAGCCTCAAGCTCTCCTTATTGCTGTTCTGAAAGAGATTTTCAAGTATCAATACCCAATATTAACCAGGTTAAAACATGGACACTGAAGCAGGATCTTATTTATTACCACAAATCTTAAATGATTTAAAGTAACTGTACACTCATTAACAAAAACGAAAATACAGCAAAGTTCTGACCACCTAACATTTGAAATCCAATGATTGCCTATGTCAACCTTCAACCTTCTGACAGGAGTGTACATTTTGATTTTATAATACTAGCCCAAAGGTAGATTTTGTAAATATTGAAAATGTTCACAACATAACTCTTCTATAGCACTAGGCATTGGAACACTAGTATTTGAGCCCCCTGTATGACCTAAATACAGAGTTTCGTAATATGAGTTTATAAACACTTACCTCAACCGCTAACTTCTTGTTGTTTACTGATTTCCTCATCCTGTTGTTTTTTCTGCTTCTCCTGTTTCTCCTTCGCTTTCTCTTCCTCCTCAATGATTGATTCCTTCTTGAGCAGGTCGATGAGGTCGGTCACCTGGGTGGGACTAAGTTTAACGTTCTCTGTGGCCAGCAGTTCGATCACCTGTAGTTAGTCATTGAAACTTTTATTAAGAATCTTTCGAATTTGAAAATGTTATATTAACATCACTGACAATTTTTTATGAGACAAAATGCATCTTAAACAGGTTAGGATTTGAGATAGTATAAACTATAAACTATGCAAAGTGCACATAATCTATAAAAAGATCTACATTCTGTAACCAAAATGTTTTGGAATGTTCTAAAGAGATACTATGTTTAACAAACAACATCTATGCTTTGGTATATAATTAAATCAGAGGTTTGCCTCTACTTGTTCTAATTCTAATTCACAATGTCCAATTAACAAATAAACAAAATATGCATTTTCCATCAGAATAATGAAACAGAAATGCTATACAATTTCCAAAACATATTTTTTTGCTGAAATCATCCAAGATTTTTATCATTTAAATGTTTATGTAAAAGTCCATAGCCCCTGTTGTCTTATTTTTTGTTTCATTATATTATTAACATGACTTTTTTTTCAAGGAATGGTGTTGATTACTTGAATGTGTCTCTTCAACTAGTGTTAATTTCTCAAGTTTGTTTCTGAAAAAAAAAGATTATTGAATTTTTTTTAAATTACATTTACTAAATACTGGGCTATGATAGAAGCAAACGGTAAATAGATCAATATATATAAGGCAGACATTTTTAAATTCTGTATATCTGAGAATATTGAGCATATGTTCAACAAAACCGACCTTGAGCACATGTCCAACATCAATATTTCCATCCTTGTCCTCGTCTAGGACTTCTGCGATCCTCTGGAGCCTCGTCTCATTAGGCACCTTCTGGAGCCTCTTCAGAGCCAGGAGCAGGTCGTTGATGCTGATCACGTTCCTCCTGCAAAGGGACACAACTCTTCCATGCATTGGTTTTATTTTAGAGAATTCAAAACCACAGAAGACTTGCTCATAAATACTTTAAACCATTCATCCATTATGGTGATATTGCTGGTAATTCTTTGTTATTTCTGTGTCACTAACTTGTCAAATTAATTCATAAGGCTTTTCTGGCTAGCGTTTATTTTTCACTTTTAAATACAGAAATTTAACAAGAGGCCTTAACGGTCACCTGATATATTTATACAGAGAGTTGATTTTTGTTTATAACATGAACAGAAATATTATTCAAAGTGACAAAAAACAATAAAACCACCTTATTCAATATCTAGCATGCAGATTTAAGACTGAAAAGTATTTGAAACTAGCACCTCTGATTCTAAACAAGGAAAATGAAGAAATTTTGTTTTAGCACACAGACTCCATTGGGCCCCACCCTACAGCCCTTGGGGGTAGGGATGGCTCAAAATTTACAAAGTATCAAACTGTCAACTTAGGGTTATAATTCCAATCAAGTTATCAACATGTAATATTCAAAGTATCATTTGCCATTATAAACCATAACAAATTTTGCCCCCCCCCCTCCTTCCCCAGGGGTTAACGCCAGACCCCAGGGTCATGAAATTCACAATTTTGGTAAAGCACCTTAAGACCCTTCCATCTATGAAGAGTATTTGATTCTACCATATCTGGGTCTTGAGAAGAAGATTTTTGAAATTTCAGTCAATTCAACCCTTTTTGGCCCCACCCATCAGCCCCGGGGGGTCAGTCAGGGCTCATATGTGCATACTATCAAACTGCTACCTAATACTGATAATGCTAACCCAAATTGAATTACTTCCAATGGAAATTAAACAAATGTTGGTCCAAAATGTGATTTCCCTATATAAACTATAGTAAAGTTTACCCCCTCCCCAGGGGGAAACGCGAGACCCCAGGGTCATGAAATTCACAATTTTGGTAAAGCACCTTAAGACCCTTCCATCTATGAAGAGTATTTGATTCTACCATATCTGGGTCTTGAGAAGAAGATTTTTGAAATTTCAGTCAATTCAACCCTTTTTGGCCCCACCCATCAGCCCCGGGGGTCAGTCAGGGCTGATATACATGTGCATACCATCAAAAAACTGCTATCCAATACTGATAATTTTAACCCAAATTGAATTACTTCCAATGGCAATTAAACCAATGTTGGTCCAAAATGTGATTTCCCTATATAAACTATAGTAAAGTTTACCCCCTCCCCAGGGGGAAACGCGAGACCCCAGGGTCATGAAATTCACAATTTTAGTAAAGCACCTTAAGACCCTTCTATCTATGAAGAGTATTTGATTCTACCATATCTGGATCTTGAGAAGAAGATTTTTGAAATTTTAGACAATTTTACCCTTTTTGGCCCCACCCCTCAGGCCCCTTGGGGCTGGGGACCATATAACTCACAATTTTAGTTGACCTTTAGCCATGGAAGGTTTCTGCAAAATTTCATTGATATTGGTTTAGGGGTTTTGGAGAAGAAGTCGAAAATATAAATTGTTTACGGATGCACAACGGACGACGGACGACGACGGACGACAGGCGATCGCAATAGGTCACTTGAGACTTTGTCTCAGGTGACCTAAAAACTGACATCATATTTGCGTCAAATAATACCTAAAACTATAATCTTCTGTTTGAGTCAAATCTAGCAAGATCTTACAGAACTTACGTTTTTTCTGCCATTTTCTCCAAGAATGCATCCCTCTTTTTCACATCCTCCTTGAATTCAGCACTACGCCGAATCTTGACTTCACCCATTTCTATGGCTTCCTGGATTTCTTCCTTCTGGGAGTGAAGCTTATTGATCTCGGTGTCCATAGTGTCGATCAGTTTGTTGACCTGTTTGGCGAGACGTTTAGCACCCTTCGACTCTACAAGATCCTCCTCTAGTCCCTTGTCTAGTATCACAGCCTTCAAGTCCTCCAAGTCCTATGTCAACAGAAACGGGACATTTTAAAGAAAGAGACAGTCGAGGTGATCAGACGAGGAATGTATGGTCAGGGGACTATCAGGATATAGTGTATGGTCAGGGGAATCACAGGATTTAGTGTATGGTCAGGGGAATCACAGGATTTAGTGTATGGTCAGAGGAATCACAGGATTTAGTGTATGGTCAGGGGAATCACAGGATTTAGTGTATGGTTGGGGGAATTACAGGACACAGTGTATGGTCGGGGGAATCACAGGATTTAGTGTATGGTCAGGGGAATCACAGGATTTAGTGTATGGTCAGGGGAATCACAGGATTTAGTGTATGGTCAGGGGAATGACAGGATTTAGTGTATGGTCAGAGGACTAACAGGATACATTCTATGGTCAGGGGAATCACAGGATTTAGTATAATTATGGTCAGTGGAATCACAATATTTAGTGTATGGTCAGGGGAATGACAGGATTTAGTGTATGGTCAGGGGAATCACAGGATTTAGTGTATGGTCAGAGGAATCACAGGATTTAGTGTATGGTCAGGGGAATGACAGGATTTAGTGTATGGTCAGGGGAATCACAGGACACAGTGTATGGTCAGGGGAATCACAGGATTTAGTGTATGGTCAGGGGAATGACAGGATTTAGTGTATGATCAGGGGACTAACAGGATACATTGTATGGTCAGGGGAATCAGGGGATACAGTGTATGGTCAGGGGAATCATATGATTCAGAGAGATCACAAGATAGAAGTGTATGGTCAGGGTGATCACAGGACACAATGTATGGTCGGTAGAATTACAGGACAGGGGAAAGGATAGGAGTGTATGGTCTGGGGAATCACATGATTTAGTGTATGGTCAGGGAAATCACAGGACACAGTGTATGGTCGGGGGAATTACAGGACACAGTGTATGGGCAGGGGAATTACAGGACAGGGGAAAGGATAGGAGTGTATGGTCTGGGGAATCAAAGGATTTATTGTATGGTCAGGAGAGATAACAGGGAAGGAAGTTATGGTCAAGAGACCCTTAACATAGATTTTAATAATTATTCAAACATTTGCTTCCAACTTTTGCTGTACGTTTTGGTAATAACTAGAAGATGATTTAAATTGACCATGTATGTGTCTTACATTTGGTAATCATTTGAGGGGAGGACGTTGACCCTACAGTAACATAGCAGTAAATCCCTGTGAGATATGACCTTGATGCTGGGCTTACCTCTTGGTATTCCTCTACATCCTCCTTCAGGTCCTTTATCTTCTCCTCATCAATATTGATCTCCTTCTCATGAGCAATCTCCCCCAGAGCAGCCTCAATGTCCTCCAGCTCTTCGGGAGTTATCTTCTCCTCCTCTTTCTCGGTCACAGAGGGTGCTGTATCCACAATTGCTTGAAACAGAAATTAGAAACATTATTTTCACTGCCTACACATTTTTAAATGAGTCTCGTAACCAAAAACATTACATTGTGATTGTTTAATGTTATCTTTAATCTTACCAGGACAAGTGTTCACTGTTTAAAATCTGTTATATGGGTAACTAGTTACTATTGAATATAGTATTGGGAATATAGTATTACTACCAACTCCCTAACAACCGAGTCATGATTATAACTGAGCAGTATTTGTGTGCACCTATAATAATCTTTCTAGCAATCATGCTTCAGAAGTCCTTTGGATTCATTCATGATAACAAATTATAATTCACATTTCACTTGTTGGTTTCATCAAACAAGTGTTTCAGTGTACATGAAGCTTAAAATTAATAATGGGTCCCTGTCCACTGCACTGTGGTTTTTCGTATATACAGTAATCTCCCCTTAATTTCGTTTTGTATATAACTATAGCACAGGTGAGCCAGGATGATTCTGCTGACAGGGTAGCTTTGTTACTTAGATAGATTGCATAACAACGTGAAAGTTCAGAGTTCGAATCCCGGTCTAGCTCCACTTAACTTTTTACATTCAGAACACTATTCATATGATTCATAATATGTATAATCATGCCAGAAAAAACAGTTTCCTATGCATAGCTATAGTTTTTTAGAGAGGTACAGGGATCCTTAACGGAAAACTGCCTCAGATAACAAGCCAACATCTATTGAGATTTAACATGGCCTACTTTCTGTAGGCTTGGCCTCCACTATAGGTGCTGTGTCGACCATCACAGGTTCCACAACTTCTTCCTTTTCGGTAGGAACTGCTTTTTCTTCTTCTTTTGTCTTCTATTTGGAAGGAGAAATACACAGATTGTCATTTCAGAAACGTTTTTGCTTAGGTAAAGATTTGTTTTGAATTGGTTGATAAACTGATTGAATCACATTTTACATCTTCACTAAGATCACAAAACTACTATGGCAATGAACAATGAGGGTTGTCAAGTCATCTCAATGATGTTGATTAAAAAGATGTTAAACATTTGCTTGTGTGTCAAAACTAAAACTCTACTAGTATATAAGGATAATTTGCATCTAAAATGCAAATGTTTAAAAACACCAAAATTTCTGGAGGGCTATTCCAGAAATAAATATGTGGTAACAATGGGGCACTCTTTAATAGCTCTATCCCTAATCAATCATTTTTAAACAAATGTTTCAGACCCTGCTATCCATATAAACCATGGCTAACTAAAAATGTACCCCATCCCAAACACATCTTTTATATTCATATCTATCTGAAATACAAACGTAGTCCAGACTCATAAAATATGTCTTTCTGTTACTAAACATTGGAAGTATCATATTATGATAAGTAATATTTAATTAATTAAATATTTCCGAGACATGTTTGTAATAAATTGTCACTGACCTCATCTTGCTTGGTTTTCTCCAGTTCCTTGTCCTTTGCCTCACGCTCCGTCTGAATGGCCTCCTCCTGATGTCTGATCAACTCCAGCTTAGCCTTGTTGTCCACCTTCTCCCCATGGATCTCAGCCACCTTGATTTTAGCCTCTGTGGTCTGTGGACATAAATATTTCCTGTTAGCTTGCTTCCACTGGACTTTTAGATTAACATTGAAAGGAATCAGTGAAAAAACCCTGAAAGGCCTGACTTGTTATAACAGGATCTACATTTCTGTTTCCCTGCTTAGTTACAGATTAAGGGTAATTAGTAAGGTAGCAGAATACAGTAGAAACGGCTTGACCCTAAAAATAAAGGGCATGTCTCGGATAAACATGGATAGCCGATTCATCCTGCACATCACACCTACATGTATGTATATGTTCATAAACTACATTTTGAATACGTTTTTTTCTGAAGAATGATTTTTTTTCAACAGGTGATTTCCCCAGATTTGGGACTTGTGAAAACCATGGTTACCACATCAAAAAACGCCAAAAAGTGTTAAAAAATTATGATTTTTAACCCAAAATTTGACCCACGCAAGTAGTATTTTTTTTTCTTAAAACCTGTCTTAAATTAAAAATCACCTACTCGGTCGCAGAAACTCACGTTTTAACATAGGTCCTCAAACTGGATTTTTCACAATATTTACACATGAGCTGAGTACAAAAAAAGACTACATGAAAAGCTAGCTTTTGTTGTGTAGACACAGATTCGTAAATAGCCAAATTCAAATTTTGTTTTTTTTAAATGTGAAGCCCACATTGTCCAATTCATCATATATATGCCAATTTTAGAGCTGATTTTTTTTTGATGTTTTGATACCTGTAATAGTAGAGGGGTTATTCATTGTACAAAAATATCACCCATGGCCACCTTACGCTACTGTACACTGCTGACCAAAACTAAAATGCTGACTATTGCCAATTTGCGTTATTTCTTTCTTAAACAATGTCAAGTTACATGTAATTTTTAAGATACGTTATGTAATTTAGTGGACGCGTGAGAGAAGGATATAATATTCTTGATACATTGTTTTTTATTTTCTCCGAAACTGTGGATTTTTAGCTCTGCTTATAGAACGGTCCAAGTGTGTTCGTTTATCATAGAAAATTTCTGCGCCACGCGTACCGTTTCAACCGGGATACGCGAATGTAGCCTAAGACAACATGTTCAGATAACTGTTGGAAGAAGTCAGCCCTACCATAACTGATAAGTGAGGGGAGATAACTCTATGATAAGTCACAGTCATGGTTTTGATAAATTCATTCGTCACAATGGTTTCTTGTCTTGTTAATTTTAAAGGGAACAACGAGTTTGCAAACATAACATATATATTAAACAGTTTGATTTTTTTTAACAAAGTGACAAGTTAAATTATATAACAATGCATGTTGATTTGTCAACATTTGTACAAAAGTTAATCTACAGATTTGGTCAATTTCTGCGTTTAAAGCAAAATCAAGATCCATATTCATACAAATTGTTGCTAAATTTTCTTGGCAACCTTTGATATTGAACCTGTTAACTAAATACACATTAGACATACCGTCGACTCTGGCAGGGCAGAAATGGTGGCCTTCAGCTGTTCAGAGGTGGACAGAGTTTCAGGGAGGTACAAGGTCCGTGACAGAAGAAGAAGAGATGTGGGGATCATTTGTGTCAGATGTAGGTCCAACCATTGCTGTAGCTGTAGCTTGAGCCTCTCCTCTGACACACCCAAAGCACGCATCCCGCGGGCACGCACCGCTGACTGTAACTCCCAGGTGGTAAGACTGTCAAGTCCTTCCTTTTCTATCATCTATTGGTACAAAAATAGATGATAAAAAATCACTGTTGTGTTCAAGCATGTATCAGCAAGGATTTTACATCCCATAATACACATGATATAGACTGGATTGTTGAGAGTTAATGGTAAGGGAGATAACTCAAACAGAAAACATTTAATTTCACTCTTGACTTCTAAAATCATTAAAATTCCATCATTTAGTCAAATAGGGGTCTATTAATGTTCTTTTTATACATTTTTAGATTTTGTCACACAGATTCTCCATACAATTTTGAAATCTACTTAAACACAACACCAGATCAGTATACAGTTTTTACCTTAAAAGATATCTGATTAAAGAAATAGGAATACCTTATCATCAGCAAGTAGTTGTCGGAGTTTCATTCTCAGTTGAAATCGTAGCATGTTGTCGGGGGCATAGGAGTTTGGGATGTTTAACACATGATTAAGTGCTTGAAGTTGTGCCCTGTTCATGTTCTCTAGAGTGATCTCATCCTCAAACAGCTTACTGTACTGTAGGATCTCCTCATTCTCTGGTACATAGCCTTCCTGACGTACCTGCTCAGAGGAATAAATAAATATATGATGACTGTTTTCTTCTTAACTCATTTAGTTGACAAAATTACAAATCCTTTCTTGGTTATTAATATCTCAGCTCTCAGACTAAATAATCAGAATAACTGTTATTACAAAGAATGATACAAGTATCCAGATATCAAATTTTCTAAGCAAGTCTGATTGGGTATCAACTGGGTTCCATTGCGCCTTATGTATTAACTTGTAGCTATGATAATATGTCTACCACTTGATCAGTGCTTTTAATCATTAGATTCTTTTAAGAAACTCTTAAAGATTGATAAATATTAAATATTACCAGCATACACTTGCCCTAACAAGGTGTGTTTACAGTTCTGTTGATACTGTAGGGTAAAATGTAGGTTCACATTATCATACTGTAGGGTAAAATGTAGGTTCACATTATCATACTGTAGTGTAAAATGTAGGTACACATTATCTAACTGTGTAGGGTAAAATGTAGGTACAAATCATCATACTGTAGGGTAAAATGTAGGTAAAAATTATCATACTTTAGGGTAAAATGTACGTACACATTATCATACTGTTGGGTAAAATGAAGGGACACATTATCATACTGTTGGGTATTATCATACTGTAGGGTAAAATGTAGGTACAAATTATCATACTTTAGGGTAAAATATAGGTACACATTATCATACTGTAGGGTAAAATGTAGGTACAAATTATCATACTGTAGGGTAAAATGTAGGTACAAATTATCATTCTGTAGGGTAAAATGATGGTTCACATTATCATACTGTAGGGTAAAATGTAGGTAAACATTATCATACTGTAGGGTAAAATGTCGGTACAAATTATCATTCTGTAGGGTAAAATGTAGGTTCACATTATCATACTGTAGGGTATAATGTAGGTTCACATTATCATACTGTAGGGTAAAATGTAGGTACAAATTATCATTCTGTAGGGTAATTTGTACCTATATTTTACCCTACAGTATGATAATTTGTACCTCCATTTTACCCTACAGTATGATAATGTGTGCCTACATTTTACCCAACAGGATGATAATGTGAACCTAAATTTTACCCTACAGTATGATAATGTGGACCTACATGTTACCCAACAGGATGATAATGTGTAACTACATTTTACCCTACAGTAAAATAATTTGTACCTACATTTTACCCTACACATTATCATACTGTAGGGTAAAATGTAGGTACAAATTATTTTACTGTAGGGTAAAATGTAGGTACACATTATCATCCTGTTGGGTAAAATGTAGGTACACATTATCATACTGTAGGGTAAAATGTAGGTACATTTTACCCTACAATATGATAAGGTGTACCTACATTTTACCCAACAGGATGATAATGTGAACCTACATTATACCCTACAGTATGATAATGTTTACCTACATTTTACCCTACAATATGATAAGGTGTACCTACATTTTACCCTCCATTTAGATAATGTGTACCTACATTTAACCCTACAGTATGATAATGTGGACCTACATGTTACCCAACAGGATGATAATGTAGGTACACATTATCTAAATGTAGGGTAAAATTTAGGTACACATTATCAAATTGTAGGGTAAAATGTAGGTTCACATTATCATACTGTAGGGTAAAATGTAGGTACACATTATCTAAATGTAGGGTAAAATGTAGGTACACATTATCATATTGTAGGGTAAAATGTAGGTACACATTATCTAACTGTAGGGTAAAATGTAGGTACACATTATCATGCTGTAGGGTAAAATGTAGGTACACATTAGCATATTGTAGGGTAAAATGTAGGTACACATTATCATGCTGTAGGGTAAAATGTAGGTACACATCATCATACTGTAGGGTAAAATGTAGGTACACATTATCATATTGTAGGGTAAAATGTAGGTACACATTATCTAAATGTAGGGTAAAATGTAGGTACACATTAGCATATTGTAGGGTAAAATGTAGGTACACATTATCATATTGTAGGGTAAAATGTAGGTACACATTATCTAAATGTAGGGTAAAATGTAGGTACGCATTATCTAACTGTAGGGTAAAATGTAGGAAAATGTAGGTACACATTATCATACTGTTGGGTAAAATGTAGGTACAAATTATCATACTGTGGGGTAAAATGAAGGTACACATTATCATACTGTTGGGTAAAATGTAGGTACACATTATAACCAGTAAACATTACCTTCTGTAAAAATTCTGAGAACTCTGCCACCATCTTGCTTTCCCTTTTGCCCTTCTTTGACTGGAGTGAGCTCTCCTCAATGGTGTCCTGAAGGAACTTAGCCATCTCCAGTTTGACTTTCAGTTTCTTCTTACTCATTTCCAGCTACAGACAAATGTACATATTAAAGTACCACACACCATTTTATATATGTGTACATTACACAAATATGTATCATAGTCATACATGTATCATAGTCATACACATATCATAGTCATATATGTATCATAGTCATACACATATCATAGTCATACATTGGACATGTATCATAGTCATACATGTATCATAGTTATACACATATCATAGTCATACATGTATCATAGTCATACACATATGATAGTCATACATGTATCATAGTCATACACGTATCATAGTCATACATTGTATATGTATCATAGTCATACATGTATAATAGTCATACACATATCATAGTCATACATGAATCATAGTCATACATGTATCATAGTCATAAATGTATATTAGTCACATACACGTATCATAGTCATACACGTATCATAGTCATACACATATCATAGTTATACATTGTACATGTATCATAGTCATACACGTATCATAGTCATACACATATCATAGTTATACATTGTACATGTATCATAGTCATACACGTATCATAGTCATACATTGTATATGTATCATAGTCATACATGTATAATAGTCATACACATATCATAGTCATACATGGATCATAGTCATACACATATCATAGTCATACATGAATCATAGTCATACATGTATCATAGTCATACATTGTACACGTATCAGTCATTCATGTATCATAGTCAGATACACGTATCATAGTCATACATGTATCATAGTCACACATTGTATATGTATCATAGTCATACATGTATAATAGTCATACACATATCATAGTCATACATGAATCATAGTCATACATGTATCATAGTCATACATGCATCATAGTCACATACATGTATCATAGTCAAACATGTATCATAGTCATACATGTATCATAGTTATACACATATCATAGTCATACATTGTACATGTATCATAGTCATACACGTATCATAGTCATACATTGTACACGTATCAGTCATTCAAGTATCATAGTCACATACATGTATCATAGTCATACATGTATCATAGTTATACACATATCATAGTCATACATGTATCATAGTCATACATGCATCATAGTCACATACATGTATCATAGTCATACATCATAGTCATACACATATCATAGTCATACGTGTATCATAGTCATACATTGTATATGTATCATAGTCATACATGTATAATAGTCATACACATATCATAGTCATACATGAATCATAGTCATACATGTATCATAGTCATACATGCATCATAGTCACATACATGTATCATAGTCATACATCATAGTCATACACATATCATAGTCATACGTGTATCATAGTCATACATTGTATATGTATCATAGTCATACACATATCATAGTCAGACATGTATCATAGTCATACATTGTATATGTATCATAGTCATACATGTATAATAGTCATACACATATCATAGTCATACATTGTATATGTATCATAGTCATACATTGTACATGTATCATAGTCATACATGCATCATAGTCACATACATGTATCATAGTCAAACATGTATCATAGTCATACATGTATCATAGTTATACACATATCATAGTCATACATGTATCATAGTCACACATTGTATATGTATCATAGTCATACATGTATAATAGTCATACACATATCATAGTCATACATGAATCATAGTCATACATTGTATATGTATCATAGTCATACATGTATAATAGTCATACACATATCATAGTCATACATGAATCATAGTCATACATGTATCATAGTCATACATATATCATAGTCATACATTGTACATGTATCATAGTCATACACGTATCATAGTCATACATTGTATATGTATCATAGTCATACATGTATAATAGTCATACACATATCATAGTCATACATTGGACATGTATCATAGTCATACATGTATCATAGCCATACATTGTACATGTATCATAGTCATACACGTATCATAGTCATACATTGTATATGTATCATAGTCATACATGTATAATAGTCATACACATATCATAGTCATACATGAATCATAGTCATACATGTATCATAGTCATAAATGTATATTAGTCACATACACGTATCATAGTCATACATGTATCATAGTCACACATTGTATATGTATCATAGTCATACATGTATCATAGTCACACATTGTATATGTATCATAGTCATACATGTATCATAGTCATACACATATCATAGTCAAACATTGTACATGTATCATAGTCATACATGTATCATAGTCACATACATGTATCATAGTCATACATGTATCATAGTCATACACGTAACATAGTCAGACACGTAACATAGTCAGACACGTATCATATTCATACATGAATTTCAATCACAAATTCTCCCTCCATACTCCTTTTCTTTCATTGCTTTACCATTTCTTTTACATTCTCACATTAAATGTAAAATGATCATGAGGTACCAATTTAGAATTACAATTATTACCTCAAGCAACTATTTTCAGATACCTTGTAACTCTATATAAAATAAAACCACATCACAATGAATAATATCATGCATTGTTGATATGGAACAAAGAAAAACATAAAAGGTTTGTTATGTTGAACCATACATAACAAATGTTGTGGTTTACAAAGACAGTGGCGTTTAAAATGTTATCATGACAGTTTTATAAACACCAATCTTAATTCTTAGCTTCATTTGGTTGGAACATATAACATGGTGTTTGCAACAAATGGTGTGATATCAAATTTGTTTATATAATGACAGAGATATAGTAAGCAATGATAAACTTCTTTACAGTCAAATATGTGGATCAATTGCTGGAGCAGACTTTCTATATAAAGGTACCTGGGTGAGCTTACATTATGTCTCTTTAAATGTTACAACATCTATGAATCTATTTACAATAAATTATAATTGATGATATATGTTGCATCGAGGAATATGACTAATCATGATATTTTCTGCAGAGAACAGGCACTGATAAAGCAAAACACACTGTATACACACCTCCTTTTTGCTGCCAGGTAAATCTTGGTTGAAAGTGCTAGGTAACATGCTGGGGAATAATTTCAGGGCCACAGGCAGAAGGAACTCCATGAATGGGATTACAAGGAACACCATGAAAGGTACCAGTCGAAACAGGTCAGCAGATGTCCTCACTAGCTGGAATCAACATATCAAAATTAATTTCAACCAAACACCACAGCATCACAATTGAAAATGTAAATATTTTTATTAAAATTAAATTAACGACTATGAATTTTGATGGATTTGGGGGATTAAGGTACAATGTACTTTAATTTGTCTCCAGCCCTATGAGTAGGCTACTTTGTCTCCAGCCTTTTATGTAGGCTACTTTGTCTCCTGCCCTATGAGTAGGCTACTTTGTCTCCTGCCCTATGAGTAGGCTACTTTGTCTCCAGCTCTTTGAGTAGGCTACTTCGTCTCCAGCCCTATGAGTAGGGTACTTTGTCTCCAGCTCTTTGAGTAGGGTACTTTGTCTCCAGCCCTATGAGTAGGGTACTTTGTCTCCAGCCCTATGAGTAGGGTACTTTGTCTCCAGCCCTATATGTAGGCTACTTTGTCTCCTGCCCTATGAGTAGGGTACTTTGTCTCCTGCCCTATATGTAGGCTACTTTGTCTCCAATTCTATGAGTAGTGTACTTTGTCTCCAGCCCTATGAGTAGGCTACTTTGTCTCCAGCCCTATGAGTAGGGTACTTTGTCTCCAGCCCTATGAGTAGGCTACTTTGTCCCATGCCAGATGAGTAGGCTACTTTGTCCTCTGCCCTATGAGTAGGCTACTTTGTCTCCAGCTCTTTGAGTAGGCTACTTTGTCTCCTGCCCTATGAGTAGGCTACTTTGTCTCCAGCCCTATGAGTAGGGTACTTTGTCTCCAGCCCTATGAGTAGGGTACTTTGTCTCCAGCCCTATGAGTAGGGTACTTTGTCTCCAGCCCTATGAGTAGGCTACTTTGTCTCCAGCCCTATGAGTAGGGTACTTTGTCTCCAGCCCTATGAGTAGGGTACTTTGTCTCCAGCCCTATGAGTAGGGTACTTTGTCTCCAGCCCTATGAGTAGGGTACTTTGTCTCCAGCCCTATGAGTAGGGTACTTTGTCTCCAGCCCTATGAGTAGGGTACTTTGTCTCCAGCCCTATGAGTAGGGTACTTTGTCTCCAGCCCTATGAGTAGGGTACTTTGTCTCCAGCCCTATGAGTAGGGTACTTTGTGTTCAGCCCTATGAGTAGGCTACTTTGTCTCCAGCCCTATGAGTAGGGTACTTTGTCTCCAGCCCTATGAGTAGGCTATTTTGTCCCCTGCCCTATGAGTAGGCTACTTTGTCTCCTGCCCTATGAGTAGGCTACTTTGTCTCCTGCCCTATGAGTAGGCTACTTTGTCTCCTGCCCTATATGTAGGGTACTTTGTCTTCAGACCTATAAGTAGGCTACTTTGTCTCCTGCCCTATGAGGAGGCTACTTTGTCCCCTGCCCTATGAGTAGGCTACTTTGTCTCCTGCCCTATGAGTAGGCTACTTTGTCTCCAGCTCTTTGAGTAGGCTACTTCGTCTCCAGCCCTATGAGTAGGGTACTTTGTCTCCAGCTCTTTGAGTAGGGTACTTTGTCTCCAGCCCTATGAGTAGGGTACTTTGTCTCCAGCCCTATGAGTAGGGTACTTTGTCTCCAGCCCTATATGTAGGCTGCTTTGTCTCCTGCCCTATGAGTAGGGTACTTTGTCTCCTGCCCTATATGTAGGCTACTTTGTCTCCAATTCTATGAGTAGTGTACTTTGTCTCCAGCCCTATGAGTAGGCTACTTTGTCTCCAGCCCTATGAGTAGGGTACTTTGTCTCCAGCCCTATGAGTAGGCTACTTTGTCTCCAGCCCTATGAGTAGGGTACTTTGTCTCCAGCCCTATGAGTAGGCTACTTTGTCTCCAGCCCTATGAGTAGGGTACTTTGTCTCCAGCCCTATGAGTAGGCTACTTTGTCTCCAGCCCTATGAGTAGGGTACTTTGTCTCCAGCCCTATGAGTAGGCTACTTTGTCTCCTGCCCTATGAGTAGGGTACTTTGTCTCCTGCCCTATGAGTAGGCTACTTTGTCTCCTGCCCTATGAGTAGGCTACTTTGTCTCCTGCCCTATGAGTAGGCTACTTTGTCTCCTGCCCTATATGTAGGGTACTTTGTCTTCAGACCTATAAGTAGGCTACTTTGTCTCCTGCCCTATGAGGAGGCTACTTTGTCCCCTGCCCTATGAGTAGGCTACTTTGTCTCCTGCCCTATGAGTAGGCTACTTTGTCTCCAGCTCTTTGAGTAGGCTACTTCGTCTCCAGCCCTATGAGTAGGGTACTTTGTCTCCAGCTCTTTGAGTAGGGTACTTTGTCTCCAGCCCTATGAGTAGGGTACTTTGTCTCCAGCCCTATGAGTAGGGTACTTTGTCTCCAGCCCTATGAGTAGGGTACTTTGTCTCCAGCCCTATGAGTAGGGTACTTTGTCTCCAGCCCTATGAGTAGGGTACTTTGTCTCCAGCCCTATGAGTAGGCTACTTTGTCTCCAGCCCTATGAGTAGGGTACTTTGTCTCCAGCCCTATGAGTAGGCTACTTTGTCTCCAGCCCTATGAGTAGGGTACTTTGTCTCCAGCCCTATGAGTAGGCTACTTTGTCTCCAGCCCTATGAGTAGGGTACTTTGTCTCCAGCCCTATGAGTAGGCTACTTTGTCTCCAGCCCTATGAGTAGGGTACTTTGTCTCCAGCCCTATGAGTAGGCTACTTTGTCTCCAGCCCTATGAGTAGGGTACTTTGTCTCCAGCCCTATGAGTAGGCTACTTTGTCTCCAGCCCTATGAGTAGGGTACTTTGTCTCCAGCCCTATGAGTAGGGTACTTTGTCTCCAGCCCTATGAGTAGGGTACTTTGTCTCCAGCCCTATGAGTAGGGTACTTTGTCTCCAGCCCTATGAGTAGGGTACTTTGTCTCCAGCCCTATGAGTAGGGTACTTTGTCTCCAGCCCTATGAGTAGGGTACTTTGTCTCCAGCCCTATGAGTAGGGTACTTTGTCTCCAGCCCTATGAGTAGGCTACTTTGTCTCCAGCCCTATGAGTAGGGTACTTTGTCTCCAGCCCTATGAGTAGGGTACTTTGTCTCCAGCCCTATGAGTAGGGTACTTTGTCTCCAGCCCTATGAGTAGGGTACTTTGTCTCCAGCCCTATGAGTAGGGTACTTTGTCTCCAGCCCTATGAGTAGGGTACTTTGTCTCCAGCCCTATGAGTAGGCTACTTTGTCTCCAGCCCTATGAGTAGGGTACTTTGTCTCCAGCCCTATGAGTAGGGTACTTTGTCTCCAGCCCTATGAGTAGGGTACTTTGTCTCCAGCCCTATGAGTAGGCTACTTTGTCTCCAGCCCTATGAGTAGGGTACTTTGTCTCCAGCCCTATGAGTAGGCTACTTTGTCCCATGCCCTATGAGTAGGCTACTTTGTCCTCTGCCCTATGAGTAGGCTACTTTGTCTCCAGCTCTTTGAGTAGGGTACTTTGTCTCCTGCCTTATGAGTAGGCTACTTTGTCTCCAGCCCTATGAGTAGGGTACTTTGTCTCCAGCCCTATGAGTAGGGTACTTTGTCTCCAGCCCTATGAGTAGGGTACTTTGTCTCCAGCCCTATGAGTAGGCTACTTTGTCTCCAGCCCTATGAGTAGGCTACTTTGTCTCCTGCCCTATGAGTAGGCTACTTTGTCTCCTGCCCTATGAGTAGGCTACTTTGTCTCCTGCCCTATATGTAGGGTACTTTGTCTTCAGACCTATAAGTAGGCTACTTTGTCTCCTGCCCTATGAGGAGGCTACTTTGTCCCCTGCCCTATGAGTAGGCTACTTTCTCCCCTGCCCTATGAGTAGGTTACTTTGTCCCCTGCCTATGAGTAGGCTACTTAGTTTCATGTGTGTAAAGTTACCTTATCTCACACAGGTTAATAATTACTGCCATTTAAACTTAAATTGGTGACATTGAAGACACTTGAGCTGACAAAAGGTACTGTATATTTACCTGTTTGTTTTCCCTCCTCGTCAGCTGTTTGCCCTTCAGCAGTGCCCACACTAGCCTACTACAGACCTTTACATCCAGCCACAGCAGTCGGAACCCGTGATAGTAATGCTTCAGCTCTGCTACAAAACGCTGCCATAGTGTCTTTTTAGCAACCACTTGAGTCTCTGCTGTACTTGCAGGTGTTGCCTTAGTCTCTGCCTCTGTAGGCTTACTTTGTAAAGCTTTCACAGTTTTCTCAACAGTAGATTCGTCTTTCCGAAAAAGTGAGGTTGTATGAAAATTACGATTGAACGATAACACAGGGTGATAAAATAATCCATAGTCCACAGGCTTACCTATACCAGAACTACTCAAACATATATGTTTTGGTCGCTCATCTCTGAACCAGTCATCAACAGTTAGTGAGAGATTATGGGAGGAACAGGTTAGGTTCACATCAGGTGTGAAGCCTTTCTGTGGTGGGGAATACCTGTTCTGTAACAGTGGGGATCCTGGATTCTGGGAATACCTGTAATGGATATAAATAAAAATTAGAAATGATGCATAACAAAATTATTACATGACATGAATCTGTCAGGTGTGCCAATGTATGTACAATAAGAGTGACAATATTATTCTAAACGTTCGGCTTTGATCACCTCCGGGATCACTGTACTCAGCTATCCAGATTTCTGGCAACTTGGTGGATACATCGGTACTGTATCTATGGGTACATGTACATAATTACCACACATCAGGTTATTCACATGTGTTTTTCTATTAGGATTTGTTCAAAATCAAATCCTTTTTGTGTTTTTATCTCTAGACTATGCTAATGCTATCATATAGTTTGATCTACTATCTAACTTTTGCTTAATTTGCAAGATGAAATTGTTTCACACAAACTTTTCAACACTTGCTGAAAAATACAATTTACAATATATGATGACAAGTTTGCTTTCTTTTTTTCAAGATTTCAAAATCTTGTGAACAAAAACCCTAACAAAAGTTAGGTGTTACATGTATATGGTACTGTATATACAACAAAACCTAGATATATGCCCCTGGAATTACTTAACATCTATCTTACCACCAACATCAATCATAGAAGTACAAGTATAAAAATGGCTTTAAACTAATTCAATACCAATTGCAAGCTATTGTTGAGGTGAACTTGTGGTTATATCTATGTACTTGACCAGATGCTTAACGACTCAGTCATACTGAGATCAATGTATTTTCAGGTTCATACGTCAACCCCAATAACCAACATATTCAGTTTTTTACCAAAATAAATGTCTTTAATTGTTAAATTTGATATGAAATTTATGAAATTTTATATTATTAAACAAGATGGAACATGTACTGTAGGGAAATATAATATAAGAAATTATCACTATAACTTGGATGAAGGTTATAAGTTATGATATTAAATGGTCACCCATGGCCACTTTAAATCATATGAATACTTATCATACAGTAAATGGGTGTGTTGATAATATATTAAAGCTGACAAGACTTTACCCCCTTATTTCTATACATATTCTAAATTGCCCTTTACTTTATGATAGAGCATGTATAAAGCCCTATTGCAATTAAGTTTTTTTCACATCCTGTCTGAAACTGTTCAACTTAAAGCAGTTTTATTATCTCGACATATATCCTAATTATATATTATCATATATATTATAGCTTTATTTATTTAAAATTTGTACAATAATAGCACCTGTAATTGATATGTAGCTTACCTGTTCTGACTTGTTCCTAGGCAGCCTTTACAGGGGCCTAGCACTCTTTGGAGAGGGGCTGTCAACACAAAAAGTACTGATTGTAAACATGTTGAACATATTTCTAGTATTCTTGGCACAATAAATATCTAAAGATCATAAGTCAAAGAAGATGTATTAGAAAGATAACTTCAGAGACCCATTTAATTATAATATATAATGTTACAGGGTGAGGGTACCCAAAATGGAACATTTTTAAGGAAAAAATTGACATTTCCTATTAATTTTCTGAAACACCAAATCTTTTACTGTAATGAAACAATAGATGCATTAAGCCTTTGTTGTATGTATAGCTTGCATAATTGGATATCAACAGCTTGTGTGTCTTTTTATAGAGCTAATTGTCTTGAGTCTGAATCACATGAAAGTTTAAGGATATATAGGAATGACTGAGGGTGCAACATTTACCGTTAAACATTGATCCCTAGGCTACTGGTGTCGGGGTGAATGGCTGAGGTTGAAACATTTACCTTGGACATTGGTCCCCAGTGGGGTGAGTGTAAAACATTTACCCTTTGACATTGATCCCTAGTGGTGTCAGGGTGAATGACTGAAGGTGCAACATTTACCGTTAGACATCGATCCCTAGTGGTGTCAGGGTGAATAACTGAGGGTGCAACATTTGCCCTTGGACATTGATCCCTAGCTGTACATGTGGTGTCAGGGTGAATGACTGAGGGTGCAACATTTACCCTTGGACATTGATCCCTAGTGGTGTCAGGGTGAATGACTGAGGGTGCATTATTTACCCTTGGACATTGATCCCTAGTGGTGTCAGGGTGAATGACTGAGGACCCTAGTGGTGTCAGGGTGAATAACTGAGGATGCAACATTTACCCTTGGACATTGATCCCTAGCTGTGGTGTCTCAGGGTGAATGACTGAGGGTGCAGCATTTACCCGTGGACATTGATCCCTAATGGTGTCAGGGTGAATGACTGAGGGTCCAGCATTTACCCTTGGACATTGATCCCTAATGGTGTCAGGGTGAATGACTGAGGATCCCAAGTGGTGTCAGGGTGAATAACTGAGGATGCAACATTTACACTTGGACATTGATCCCTAGCTGTGGTGTCTCAGGGTGAATGACTGATGGTGCAACATTTACCCTTGGACATTGATCCCTAGTGGTGTCAGGGTGAATAACTGAGGATGCAACATTTACCCTTGGACATTGATCCCTAGCTGTGGTGTCTCAGGGTGGATGACTGAGGGTGCAACATTTGCCCTTGGACATTGATCCCTAGCGGTGTCAGGGTGAATGACTGAGGGTGCAGCATTTACCCTTGGACATTGATCCCTAATGGTGTCAGGGTGAATGACTGAGGGTGCAACATTCACCCTTGTGTAAAAGATGGTGTCAGGGTGAAATTCAGGAATGACTGCATGAAGGTGCAAGATTTATCCTTGGATATCAATCCCTAGTGGTGTCAGGTGAGGGTTTGTCACTGTATGAGGAGTCAAAACCACAGACATATCACTCCACGCCAATTTGAGCCATCCACAGTAACCCACGCCACCTTTTTCCACCCGATACACCCTATATAAAGGGCTGCACTCCTCACTCTGCACCTCTGATGAGTTACACATCGTAAGGAACCCGGTCAGGTCATTGTAGTAGGACGAGGAATAGTGATAAAAAAAGTGCTGTCGCTGGGGCTCGAACCCGCGACCATTGGCTCCCAAGCCTGATGCTTTACTGCTGAGCTGAAGAGAAATTCCCTACAGCTGATGCTTGTAAGGCAACCTAATTAATCCCGATCTTTTACATCATCAGTGGACAACTTGGTTCCCACACAACACGGATGTGCTCCTAACTCAGTCACTCACTTGGAAGTTTAAGCTGGCTGAGTACCCAAAAAGGAACACCTCATCAAACAAGTCAGTTTATGAAAATATCTGACAACATCTAAAATATTTTTCTTCATTTCAATTAAGTTTTGATAATTTCTGATTTTTTTTAGTCATTTAGTTATAAAAATATTAATTTGAACAAGTATTGCTGTTGCATCGTACCGTTTACCAGGATATTTTTTTGTTTCAAATTTCACTGTACCGTTTACCAGGATATTTTTTCATTTCAAATTTTGAATATTTCAATTGAATTTATGAGCAATATTGAAGAGTAGGAAGATTTACTTTGTTCAAACTTTATTAATTTTGATTATGATAACATACATTTAATTTGCATTGCACAATAAAAATTCTGCATCATATATACAGCTGTAGTAAATTTGTTCCATTTGGTACTCTCACCCTAGTATACATTATGTATATTACTTATATATAATATTGATTAAAATAATATAATTAACTCACACTGTGGGGGGTGTCATAGATACGTAAGGCCAAATATAAATATGTGTTTCGGCTCCAAAAAAATAGGGTAGGTAGGAAAAACATTTTAGCATTTTATTTTATTTTTTCATTTTATTCTGGTGAAGAAAATCTGTAATGAGAATATTTTGCTATGATTGCTTAAATATTCAGGTGAGCGATACAAGCCCTCTGGGCCTCTTGTTATTTGACCCGCTTAAATGTTTATGGAATAACCAATGAAATGTACAGTAGTGCTAACACCAGTGTTACATTTCTAAATTATCCCTACTGCTGGACACTAGTTTTTAGAAATCCAAACTCCACTGATGATCACCAGTGTTACATTATCTTTTGTATTACTGATACTTTCTGTTCTCAACTTCCACAGCCTTCAGTTCATATTATTGGACAACAACTGGCCATAAATCCTGTTTAATTTGACTCTGGTGAATGGTCAGCATCAGCTGCAGGCACAAACACTGACATTACAGACTGGACTGAAAAAATAAGGTTGGGCTTGAAACGGGAAACACTGGTATATTTTTATTTGGCATAATGCATTTATAAGCATTGGACTACAGACCTAAAAATGTAGGTGCCATATACTTGCTACAAGTTGTTGTGTCCTTGAGCAAGACGCAAGACACTTAGCCATTTGCTCAACTTTTCTCAGCTCTGTCTGAGTAGATTGTTCATGTTGATAATACTTTAACGTGTTAGCTTTAGATAATTTATGGAGGAGTATTTAAAGGTGTTGAATATAAAAAGAAAGCACAAGTTGTTCTCCACCAACAATTTCACGCTTATATGTGTATTCAAATATGACCAGTAAGTCTGCCAACACATCAGTCTTACCTTGAAATAGATCTAGTGCTTTCATGATTTGAAGGTCAGTATCATGCATTGATCAGCTGGTTTGTTTTATTTTTACCCGGTGTCAACAACCTCCGCCGGGTTTATTGCCACGACTGAATATGCTCAATGCGTATTTTACTCACCTCTGGCTGAAAGGCCAATCAAATATCGATGAGCCATATTGAAATGAAACCAATAGGAGCTATAATACCGTAACCAGTGGCAGAATATAAATAATCACACATCACCGGTCGGATTCATTTAAGGCGAAGTTCGAAGAACAGTGTAATTTAAACGCTTTGTCTTGGCCGTGTGTACAAAACATTCAACTGATTTGGATCATGCAAGTCTTATCACAGTATGGAATCCTTACACGTCAATCTTTTTGTAGAGAGTGCTGTAGTCATTGTCAAGTATTTTGGCGTATTTGTTATTTCAATTATGTCAATTTAACACCCCCTAGACGACTAAACTTTGAGGCGAACCCTTGTATGGATTATTTGGTTTGGTTGGGGTGTGTGTGTGTCTGGAGACTGCATAATCACGGGCTAACTGGTTCCGTGGTCTTGAAGCATTCAGATGTTATATATATATAAAAATAAAACCAATTCTTACTGCATTTAAATTTAAAAACATCATATAACATTTATAATTGTTTCCTCATTAATATGAAAAGGCAAAGCCTTAAAAGAGCGTAGCTTTTGTTGATCTCTGATACTTACTGATTCAGAATACTGCTTTCAGAATGAGATAAGATAAACCTTTTTTTAAAGTCCGCAAGTCGAGGAATAACAATAAAACACAAACTTTAATGAGATTAAGACCGACATAACAATAGGGGAGACCGCGGCAAGTTCGACCTTTTTTTATATTTAAGTCCGTTCTGGGAAGTATGGCATCACGTCCGTTTTTAAACATTATTTGACTTTTCCTGTCGGAAGATCGGATGGCCGAACGATCGCGAGCCCCGCCATGGGGTAAGTTCGAACAGGCATTCGGGTAAGTACGACACCATTAATATCAGCTTAATTATGACGTCATAAAGCATGCAGTGTCAGATTTTACCTCTAATTTTACGACTTTTTATGTGTTACATGGGCCGAACTTGCCACAGAATTATTGGTCGAACCAGAGGGATTGGCAACTCACGCAGATCTCACAAAAACACGCATCCCTGAGAAACGCTGCGAGACTTGGGTTGCTACATGAGCGTTTGTTTTGACAGCTTACACTGATAATTCGATCGTGTATTCGTTAGTTCGTGTCAACATGTCACATTTCCTAGATATATGACTCATATAAAGAAGCTTGTTAGAAATATAATGTAATATCTGAATACGTTTTTGAAATAAATTAACGAACGAGAGAGGAGTGCCGGTGTCATGAAAGGAATTCCCTCGCACATCACCTGTACAGCCGCCGTTTTTTCAGAGCTCAATTATCAAACTTTGCAAGCATTGTAAAAACCTTATTTGAAAAAGCTGTCTAGAAATTTTTGTTTGAATAAATATCTGAATATGTTTTAGAAATTAAATAATGAATTAGAAAGGAGTTCGTGTTTTAATGTGTTAAGAAAGAAAAAAATCCTCACACATCAAAGCCGCCATTTTAACTTGTTTATTCTTAAAAACTTGTATTTTCATTGCTAAATTATGAAACTTTGCAAGTATTGTAACAACCTCATTTTAATTTCCTGGTTAGAAATATCATAAAAAAAGACTTTTTTAAAATCGTCTAAAGAACAAAAACGGAGTTCGTGTTCTAATTTGTCATGATAGAAATAACCCTCATACATCCAAGCCGCCATTTTAACTTGTTTACTCTGAAAAACTGTATTTTCATAGCTAAATTATGAAACTTTACAAGTATTGTAACAACCTCATTTTAATTTCCTAGTTAGAAAATTTAACCAATAACTAATTTTCAAAACATTTTTGAAATTGTCTAAAGAACAAAAACGAGTCCGTGTTCTAATTTGTCCTGATAGAAATAACCCTCACACATCCAAGCCGCCATTTTAACTTGTTAACTCAGAAAAACTGTATGTTCATAGCTAAATTATGAAACTTTGCAAGTATTATAATAACCTCATTTTAATTTCCTGGTTAGAAATGTTATCCAATAATTAATTTCTGAAAACTTTTTTGAAATTGTCTAAAGAACAAAAACGAAGTTCGTGTTCTCCTGAAGCCAGAATCATTACCAGCCACGATGTGCAATCTTTCGATGTTTGGTGTTTTCTAAACTTAATAATTTAAGTTTACATTCAATGTTGCACTCCCAAACCGCATGGAAATCTCAGCTAGCTACGGGTTTAATATTACGTTGATTTTCGATGTTTTCTCATGGCATAATTATGTTTTGAACAGAAAAGGATTATTTAATGCAGCGGACCGTATATCCAATATGGCGCAGGTGAAGCGTAACTCGCGATATGACATCCGGTTTTAGAAATGTTTTCCATTAATTAATTTCTGAAAACTTTTTTGAAATTGTCTAAAGAACAAAAACGAAGTTCGTGTTCTCCTGAAGCCAGAATCATTACCAGCCATGATGTGCAATCTTTCGATGTTTGGTGTTTTCTGTATGCAGATTTTTTGTATCATTGATGATTATTTAAAAGTATTCACAATACATTTTTTGCATCAATGACGCATTTTTCTTCCAGTCAAAGTTAAAGTAGAAAGTGCGTTCGTCTTCACCAAGATGGCCGGATTCAATTCCGGTCACCGGCAGACCACGCGGGTTTTCTCCGGATACTCCAGCCTCCTCCCATATTAAGAATTTAATCCTCTGCATGCTTCCGTGAGGGCACAAAAAGAATGATTGAGATAAGCTGGGGAAAAACTGTTTGGTAATTGCTATAGAAAAAAATGCATATTACATATCTGACGATTTGTCTAAGAAAATGTATAGAGATGTGATTCTGTTCGAGTCTTGTATATATTGCTGAGTATTCATGAATATAATTTTGTTTTCTTGTTCCGAAATAGTTATATCTCCAAAAAGAAGTAGATTCAATGTAAGGGGATGTATGACTTCAGTTCACGATAAAGTTTAATTCTCTGTTCAACATAATTATCACAGTTAAAAAAGAAATGGAAGGTGTCTTCAATAGGGTAGCCACACATTCAACGTTGGTTATCAACCAGGTTAACTCGGAATAGATCGTTTTTCAAAGTGCTAGAACGGTTTCTTAGTTTTGTATGCAAGATGTTATTTTTTCTATCGCCGTAGAAAAAGTAATTGGGTACATGGGGCAAACGTTTGTCTCTAATGGCATTTTTAAACGATGAAAAAGAGGAGCTATGTCTAATACTTAAAGTTAACTGATTCCAAAGTCTAACAGTAGAAGGAAAGTAAGACATGTTAGATAACTCTAGTCTGTTGTTAGGAAGGTTGTAGTTTTCGGCGTGTCTAAGATTATATTGAGCATTTTCGACAAGGGGAGGGAGTAGAGTGTTAAGATAGTTAGGAGTAATATTATGATGAATTTTATAAAATAATTGCAGTTTCCGACGGGACCTCCGGTGGGCTAGGGACTCCCATCCCGTTTCAGTATATATAGATTGTCTACTATCATAAGAAGGTAAACCGGTGACAATACGTCCTGCCTCTAATTGTAACTTTTCTAACTTATCTGTATCAGTAAGAGTACAACCATCCCAAATTTCACAGCAATATTATAATATAGGAAGTGTAAACGATCTACATATCTTATTTAATGTACGGCGGTTTAGAGTATATTTCAATTTACAGAGAACACCTAATTGCTTGACTACTTTTTTACAAATATTATCAATATGATAGCTCCTCTTACAGTTATCATCGATGAATACTCCCAGATGTTTATGGTTATCAGCCAAGTCTATACTGATATAATTAAAATCTATTTCAATCAGGTGATCTAGTTCTATATAAGAAATAAGTAAAGCCTGTTTTTGCAGGATTAAATCTAACTAACCATTTATCAGCCACAATTGAATATTTCTTAGATCATTATTTTTTGTTTGTTCTAATATTTGTGGGGATTTATCTGAACATAATAGAGAAGTATCACATGCAAAAGGTTTTGGTAAGCTTTCTAAATTATCTGTTATATCATTAATATAAAGTATGAACAACAACGGATCTAAGACTGAACCCTGAGGTTTCCTGCATTAGTTGTCTTAACAGAGGGTTTACTGTTTCCAAAAAAACACTTGTTGAGATCTATTTGTAATATAATCAATTAACCATTCCAATAACTTACCCGATATTCCACAACTAGCTATTTTCACATTGTAATACTTTGATGTAACTGAGATTGTCGTTATATTGATATGTAGTCTCAATTTCTGTTCCATCCTAAAACACCGGATTGAATTTCAAATTTTGTAACTGTCACCAAGGTTTGACAGGTAATGATGCCAAACAAAATTAAACAGTTTCTGTCTGTAACTAGTTAGAAATCGGCAGGCGTTGTGAAAAAGTAATACGTTGCTGAAAAAGGACGTTGCACTTGGGTTGGTTGTCTGGAAAATTATTGTTGATTTCGACATAAATGTATTTTCCATTGTTTCTTTATGAGTGGTGATGCGTAAATAAATAATGTTAAGACTATAACCAGACTTTCAAAAATGTTAATTGTTTCGTTCATATTCTCAACAAATGGAAATCAAAAGCTGATGAAATTTTAAACGATGAAAAACAAATGTACACGTTGACCTATTTGTTTAATGCCAACTCTTTTTGAAGATATCTCTCAGTAAAACGTCGAGGTAATGACATCTCACCCACATCTTACACCAATGGAGATTTTTGAAAGAATTGTCGAGTTGGTTTCTACATTCAAGAATGCCGGAATGAAGGAGGTATGGGTGGTCGAAATCATCACAAGGGGAAACTTAAGTAAAGTTCCTGGTCTGACAACAGAGGCGTATGAATGTCAACGGATACGTATAACCCAATGCAACTTCTCCACAAGAAATTTGGAAAGCACTTCGTTCAGTCCAAAGACATTAAGTACCCGACTGACTATCTACAAGACCCGGTCCATCTTCAAACCAGTGAACTGATCACCGTTAATGAAGAAGTATATGTCCAGAATCCGAAGAATCATCGCCTCCACACAGAAGCATTAAGAGGAAATACGTACCATAAAACGGCCCTTTTTAGGGCCAATAACTTTCAAAAAAGCACCCAAATGATTCACTCGAAAAGGCAAAATGGATTGAAATAATCAGACCCTTAAAAAGTACGAATTTAACACATCAAACAATATCCTCTTTAGAGCAAAGCACTTATCAAATACAAAATAAGCATGGCTACCTATGTCAAATAATGTGGAAAGAGTGAGAATAAATACCATTTATTGATAAAACTTGTGTGACTATAGGCAAACGGTAAACGGTAAAATCTGATAGTTTGGACCCCATGCTTTTAAACAATGATTTACAATTTCGATAAATCAGAGACATATACATATTACAGTAATAATATATATATATACGTCTCTGGATAAACGTGTAGCGAGAGGTGGAGAGAAATTAGTTATTCATCCATTGCCCAATGAATGCAATTGCAGCGCCACTAAAATTCTGCATACAAAAGTTACTTTTCAGACAAAATCAAGAATATTTTCGACAAATAATTTCTGCAAAGGTCATTATTGACATTGTTTTTGACATGGGTATACTAACCAACTTCTGGTCCCCCCCCCCTTCATTTTGAGGAAAATTTATGAGCCCATTACGTTACTTTATACACTGACATGGGCCTGTATATAATAGATTCTACCTTAGGCCTACTTCCCCTAAGTTGTTAGCCTACTAATTCATGTAGGAACTCTATCGAAATCAGAGTTTTATAACGATAGATCTACCTATCGTTATAAGTCTATGATTTAGGTAGAGTTATCAGCCTACAAGTCCAGACAAGTGTCGACCTAACATCTTTCATGCAGATCTTAACTGGGTCGTTATTCACCTTTGTTACCGTATAACTTCAAAAAAAATCAACACACAACGCAAGAAATAAATCAATAAAATATAACGTTATGGAAATTGAGGTTGAGACCGATTCACATTGCTGTGACCGGAAGTTGGAAACTTGTCATCGTCCCTTTACCATAGCAGCATCATAAACTTCCGGTGAAATCAAAGATGTCGGCTGTTCACAGTGTTGTGTTTGGAGACGGTTAGATAGCCCTATGAAGTGCGTAAGTTATTCAGGTTATGTTATTGGTTTCTGTTCAGTGTATTCAAATTGCTTATATAATAGCAAGGACAAATGCTTTTCATCTGGACTTGTTATATCTTATTCTATATTAATTCTGGGGAAGCGTTGAACACGGTCAACACGCACCTGCAATCCCCTGCAATAATCGGACTCCATCTTGGACCAGCAGATTTTAATAATATAATACTTAAGTTATTTTCGTAACATATGTTTCCCTTATCTAACAAGCATTGTTGTTTTAAAACAACTGCAAAGAATTTGTTTTGTGTACCAAGCGTCCGTTGGTGGAGTACATGTGCGATTAGTCCGACTTTCCTCTGGCCCTGACACCAAACTTGGACATTTTGACCGATATATGTCTGGCGTGGAGACATCTATCGGTCAAAATGTCTAAGTTTGGTGTCGGGGCAAGAGAAAACTCGATCTAACGTGCGATTTGGTCTGCCAAACTTATGTAGGGGCCTGTTCGTTTATGCAGAACAACCGGTACGTCCGTTATTAAATGTAACGTTTTTGGGTATAAGGCCTGGTGGACTTGCAAATGTTTATGCAGGACTTGTAATGCTTTGTCAAGGCTCGCATGAAAGTAGCATCAGATTACTGGGTCCGATCTTATTTCATAAACGAACAACTCTGGCCCAACCGTTTGGACGGTAACGGGTTGTTTCGCCTCAAATCCCGTTCGCCCTAAGGTTTGTTTCGCCCCAAATCCCGTTCGCCCTAGGTGGTTTTGCCCTAAAAAAATATTTTTTTCGAAAGTCATAAATATCATGTTAAAAGTTAAAAAAACTAATCTTTCTCTTGAATCAAGATATAATCACGTGCCGGAAGATGAAGAACGAACCTGTATATTCATCACCGAAGCCGACAACGGACATACTAATATCAGGAATATACTGCATATTATCATTTTCATTTCATTACCTTAATTAAGTAATGTTGTTCTTTATAAAATGCACCTGTACATGTTTTAATGTTACAAATGTAAAATAGTAATACTTATACAACATGATATAAACAATTAAAAAGCACCCTGTCACGTCAGACTTTATATCAAACATATTTGAATATATGGACATATAATGAAACTAAATTAATTTCTCTAAATACAATACTTAAAATTAACAGATTTTAATGAAACTAAATTAATTTCTCTAAGTACATAGATACGTATACGAAATGCACATAGATTAGGTGCAAATTGCGTATAAGAATGAAAATAAATTTATACTTTCTCTATTTTAGTACACTTATAATATATATAGATAAGATATTGCCATAACGTAATGTTGAATTATAACACAGTATTGAGAAATGCCCTATTTATGACTAGTTACCTATTCAAAATTATCTACTCAAATATGCATATAAAGTTTTGTTATTTCCTAGAAATTTGGTTAGCTTAAAGCTTTATTTGTATTATTTCATAAACAACTAAATTATGCTTCATAAGAGTCCGCTAAGTTACCTTAGGAAAGGCTTAAAGTTTTCCCCAACTTATGACTATTTCATGAATTTGTAATTATTACGTATGGAATTGAATCTATTGCATATGTTCTCCGCCATAGTACAAGATATTTGTAAAGTATTTATCAGTATGTATATTTCTGTACGCCTATATGCAATGTGCATTTGGTAATAAATTGAATTGAAATTGAAATATTAATTTTTATTGGTCGGTACTATCAAAACTTCTCAAAATGATCTCCTCCAATTAGCAAAAGCAACACGGACGTGCGCAGAAATCAAGTAAAGAAAACATTGACACACGGCGACGAGTATGTGTACACTAGACTAAATGTGTACACTAGACTAATTGTGTTAACATGGAAAAAAATTATTGTTGTATACCCCGCAATGTAATTAAAATTGCACCATTTTTGTTTCATTTCACTATTCTTATTTATTTCTAAAACTAAATTCAATATATGTTATAATGTGTGTTAGCGTGAAGAAATAACGTTTTTTTGCTTTACAATTTAATGTACTTAAAAACAACACAAACACACATTTTTTAATAAAACTGATTTTAATGATATGGAAGACTAAGAAGACTTACTTTGTGACTTAAAACAAATAAAAATGAAAAGAAAATACCAAACAATGTTTTGCCCTAGAAAATTGTTTTAAGGCGAAACAACCTAGCGCGAAACAACCTAAGGCGAACGGGATTTGGGGCGAAACAACCCGGAACCGTTTGGACCGTGATAAATGAAAACTATCTTGGTCCTGCATGCATGTTGGGAAAGTTGCCATCAGATCTTAACACAAGATCCCAATAACCAGACATTTCCTTCAAAACACCAATCTTAAATTCTTTACATGTCTTTCAGATATCAAATTCACAGGTTCTAGAATATATATATTCTGTGTGTTTAGCATCGCAACCCACTAGATATTGAACCCCCTTATACTAAATAATCATGTATGGAGTGCGATATCTAGTGGGTTGCGATACGAAAACAGGCAATGTGTTATATATATTCTAAAACCCAATTACTTATTATCACAGTGATGTTCGATACCTGAATGTATCACATATATTCCAGAACTCTAGCACCTGTGATTAAATTCTGTAGTTTACATTTAAAGCTGGTTTCCATGTTAAAGGGTCTGGTCGGGGAAAAAGTGTCCTATTTGCTAAAATGGCATACACATGTTTAAAATACCTATATACAGATACAAATTTTGCTGAAATTCACTCCCTAAGAGTAAAAATTATAATTATATTAAAGAAATCCTAAATCGTCATTTTCGTAATTTGTAATTTTACTGCACACGCGTCATCAACGAGGCCAAATGTAAACATCGCGGCGAAAGAAAAAGATGCATGCAAAAGTCATGACAGACACGAGGTATCAATACCGTTATATATAACAACAACATATAGGTAGAAATACTACACTTGCATCATACATGACCTTTGGAAACAATTATTTACGTATAGTATTGCTGTCTTGTCCGCTAGTTGAGTCTGACATGGCACATGCCGGCGTGCTATTGTTGTTATCTTCACAGCCTCACTTTCGAAACAACCACGTGACATATATAAATAGATCTGCGCTAAATTTACGCGGGGCTTCCCCGAGATTTCAGTGGTCAAAACTGGACATTGCAAGCAGAACTCGACCATCATATTGCCGTGGTATAACTTTTGGAAGCCCAGAGAACGCATTTAGACCCATTTATTTTGTATTTTTTTCCCTGACCAGCCCCTTTAATTATTGTGGTGTATAATTTCTGCAAATATTTTGTTTTTGTTTTTAGACTGAAATTGGTTTTTAAAACATTAAATAAATAGAAAATAAACAAGCATATCAAAACATTATGTCTGTTATAGTTTTGTACAATAACTACATTAATATAGAGATTTTATTTTGATGTGTTTTATCTTTCTTTTTCTGAGGAAAAATACCTTATGCAAGTCAATATTGCTTTATCAGGGTGTTCAATTCTACTAACTCAATTTTAAAGATCAAAGTTTATATACATGTATTATATATAGTAGATTCTTTTTCCAGGTCAATTAAAAAAGATAAAACACATCCAACCATGACGGAACTCTGAGGACTTATAAACAAGCATGGCAGGAGTTAACGTAGGGATGGAATCGATGAGTAACAGGGTTTATCCCACTCATTCGTCGTCTCGTGATACTGAGACATGGACACAGAACACTGGTGGGGGGCGAATGTCCAAGTCACATACCCCCGAGACCTACGCTAAAGTCCAAAACAACCTTACCATGGAGGAGGTGCGTTGGTCAGAAATGAGAAAGAAGATACCAGGAATGGGTCGTGTACCTCGGACCAAGTTCTACCATGAAGAAGATGGGTTTGAAAGGGTGAGATTTATTATTGTTACAATAATTCCTTACCGATATTCACCAATCATTTGTTTGTTCTGCTTGTGACTTGTAATTATACACACTGTTCAGCTTGTAAATGTGATGAACTACTGTGCCTGAAAGTGGAACGTTTTGAGACAAATATTCCTGACTTACTGGTAATGCAAAAAATCAAACATATAATTACGGGGTAGGTTCATATAGCACATCCAGTGAAATGTTTATCCTTGATGGTTCAATACATACTCTGTCATGAATGCAGGTACATTTTATGTGATACCAACAAAATTGTTACGATGAGTTTGCTACTGTAAGCAAATGCACACACTAAGTGTTATTATTTTACAAAACGACGATAAAATTAACGTATTGTCTACACCTTTAAACCTGGTCATAGATGTGTAGTGGCACTGGACTTAGTCGATCGTCGGTGACCAAATAGCTCAATTGGTAGAGCATCCGTCTAGAGTTGGAGGGTCCCGGGTTCCAAAACCTGGTCTGAGCTGGCTGTTACATTTTCTCTTTCTCCTGTTACTTGATGCGGAAAAGTGTATGAATCCTGTCATCTCAATTCAGAACTGGCCCATTGTGGTGTATCTGGATTGCTTTTGTGTTCTGATTGAACAGGTTGTATGTATAACCAACCTGACAAAAATATTTCTAAACATGTAAACTTAATGTCAGTATTTCTTCAACTTTTAACAGGCCAGACAAGAAAACAATTTCTTCATCAGGACACACTTCAAACAAAAAGAATGTTATAGATTTGTACCAGCTAAAAAGGGCCAACTTCCTGTGGTCAAAAAGGTCCGGGATATGAGGTAATGATTGATGGTATAAGATAATTGTTCTAAAGGTTCATTGTCATTTGGAAATTTGTTTTGATTCAAATTTTGACTATATGTCTGCATTGCTATGAACTTTTTATGGCATTTCAGTATCATAGACTGTAAGACAAACTTAAATTGCTTTAGTTTAGAACTGCAATGTATAAACTAACCAATTATACTAACCAAGATTGCTGATTTCTGCTGATTCAGATAGAAGGATTTTTTGAACATTAAAAAGTAATAAAGAGTAAAGTCCTAATCTAATAAAACATGTATGGGTTTTAAATCAAGATAAAATGGCCGTTGAATTATTAGATAGTAGCAGTTTTAAACTGCTCAATAAGCTAAGTTAAACAATATTTGTTCCTTTACTATTAGCAGAATGTGATTAACACTGCTATGAATGCATTGAGCTAGATTTTCAATTTCAGATACCAAAGCAGCAATGAAAGACATATTAATTGCAGTTCTATCAATGACACTTTCATATAGCTTATTGTGTTGCTTTCACAGATGTGAGTGTGGAGAGGTGCTTCTCCACCATCATGGTATGCAGGGCCCCACACCCACCTCACAGGCAGACCGTGTTATGGTGGAGAGCTACTTGGTGCCCGATGGTAAATATTTCACAGCCAGTGTTAACTGCCTTAATCACTTTGATTTTTCAACAATATCCACAACAATATCAGTGGAAATACAAGTTTGTATGGATACAAATAATTTGTTAATTATTGGTGTCTAATCCTAAACTAAAAATCCCTTTTGTCGACTTGTCTCTGTTATGTTTTCAGAGGCAAAGCAATGGAACTTGTAATATATACTGTCTTGATAATTTTACCTAGTAAGTCATCCCTGGAAATTAAAAGCCTACTTGTGTATTTGAGTACCAAGGAAGAAAGGCCATGTATGCTCTTTTTTTCAAGCTCTTCTAACTTGAGCCTAAACTGTACAACGTTATTGCATTTATTTGATACGTATGTTTGTAGTATATTGCATTACGCATGTGAAGTATGGGGATCTACAAAAGGTACGGATATTGAGAGGTTACACCTACACTTTTGTAAGAAGATTTTAAAAGTTAAGAAGTCGACTTGCAACGCAATGGTTTATTTTGAATTAGGTCGACATCCTTTGGAAAATATAAGAAAATTCAGAATGATAAAATATTGGTTAAAACTAATGGATTCGAAAAATTGTATTTTGCAAACTGCGTATTCCTTTTTAAGTAGTAGCAATACAGGCAATTGCTTTAACTGGGTTAAGTATGTCAAACATTGTCTTTTTTCTCTCGGATTCGCAGATGTATGGACAAATTATTATTCATATAACCATAAAAGTATTTTGTACATGATAAAGCAAAGAATATTTGATCAAAGTCAACAATATCTGAGAGGGCTATTAGAAACCTCACCTAAATGTATTTTATATAAGCACTTAGCAAATCACCATACTCTTCAATACTATTTGACAAAGTATATTCCAATGAAATACCGGATCTGTTTATCTAAACTTCGTCTTTCTGCACATAATTTAGCTATTGAGACTGGTAGATACAATAACATAACGAGAGAACAAAGACACTGTATGAGCTGCATTTCAGATATTGAAGACGAATATCATTTTATTTTAATATGTAACAATTTTCATATTCTGAGAGTAAAATACATAAAACCATATTACTGGCGAAATCCTTCAATGTTTAAACTTGTACAGTTACTAAGTGCTGATAATATCAGCGTTATTCGTAAACTTGCTAGATACATTTTTGAGGCAAATAAGGCACGAGTGACGTAAACATGCACATCAATATAATTTATATAAATGTCTATTTATGTATTATTGACATTTGTATCGTTACGGATTACATGTTGTTGTAGTTAATGTCAGATGTTAATGATGCTGATGATGATGATGATGATGATGATAATGATGATGAAGAGGATGGTGATGATGATGATGATGATGATGACGATGATGATGTGAGAGCGTTAATGATTGTTGAATGCACAATAATGATGTGGGAGTGATAATGAGTGTTGATTGCACAATACATATACGTAATTTGTAATTTATTGTAAAGTATAGTTATCCAATAAGTTGTCAAATAAAAGTTGAATTGTGTGTGTGTGTGTGTGTGTGTGTGTGTGT